CAGCAGCAAGGGCTGGAGCCAGTGCCCGGCCCGGGAGCGGCTGCCAGGAGGGCGCGGAGCATCCCACTGCACCCGATGGAGCAGCGGCCAGCGAGATGAAAAGTGCCATAAATTATTCACTCACAAAAGAGACGAGAAGGGGGCAGCAGGGGAGGAGGAAAGCCTGCGAGGAAGGGATACGGAACACAGACCGAGTGGGAGCGGGGGCCCCGCGGGGGGCCAGGGCTGGGCGGCAGCGACGCTTTCGTTAGGCTCAAGTGACCGGCACCCCGGGGGTCCTGCACCCACGGGTCCTGCACCCACGACCGGGCAGTGAGCGGCAGGAGAGGCCCCGGCCCCGCACCGCTCGCAGGGCCGGAGCACGCAGCCCGTGTTCTCCAGGTCCTGCCCGGCTGATTGCCTCCGAGATGCCTGAGAAAGAGAAAAGAAATGTCGCTGGGGGCCAGGGAGCGGTGGGGCTGGCCAGTGTCCAGTTAAGGAGCTCCATTTCCTGCCTTCCTTCGTTAATGCAAACCTCGTTAGGACCCGGACAAAGTGCCCACCCTCCGCGCTCCCTCCCCGGGTCCCTGCCTTCGACCAGAGCCCTTGACGAGCCAGACATCTGGCCCGGCCGGACACAATGCGCGTCCGCGGGCGAGCTCGGCCGGACAAGGCAGCGCTGTGCGGCAGCTCCCCCTCCCTCGCCATGAAAGGTGCCCCCCGGTGCCGTCTCCCCCCGGCTCCGCTGCCCAGCCCGAGGGAGCTGCTCCCTCCGGCACCGGGACCTCACCACCACGGACATTTTCCCACGTGCCGAGGCTCGGAAGCAGCCCTGCCGCCGACACGCTCTCTCGCTCAGTTTCCCCTTCTCCTCCTGACCCCTGTCCCTCCCCGTGCTGCCTCTCCGGCCACCTCGCGGCTCCAGGGAGGCTTAAGCCTGGAGCCAGCCCTGGCCCACGGCGGGGAAGGAGGAGGTGGCACAGCCCGAGGCTCTCCTTGTGCCACAGCCACCCGGATCCTGCTGCAGGGAGGGGACACGCCGCAGCCGCGCGCCGCCCGGCACTGCCTCTCCCCACGCCAAACAAACGGGTTTGGTGGCTTCAGGCAGGATTCGTGCCGAGCTGGTGCTGAGCTGGTGCCTCCAGCACAGACCTGCCCACCCCCAGCCCCTCGGGCAGGACAGAGCAGGGGCCGTCCCCACACCAGTGGGCTCTGCACCCCTCCCAGTTCACCCCGCAGTCCCCGCTCACCCTTCAGCTGGGGAGGCTCAAGGTGGGGAGGAAGGTGGGGGCACAGGCAGCCCCACCCCAAATCTCTGCTCCATGCACCAGCGGGATGAACCCACCGACTCGGCAGCACCCACACCAGCCCCGAGGGAGCCCCGAGCCAAGGTCCGGGCGAAGCCACCGCAGTGTCCCTGTAGCCGTGCAGGACAGCACGTCAAAGGACACTGAAAGGCGGGCGTTTACGGGGGTTTATGGGGGTTTACGGGGGTTTATCACCAACGAGGAGCAGACAGGCTCCTGAAAGAGGTGACAGGAAGGGTGCCACCAGCCCCGACTGCTCAGGCAGGGCAGGGACACGCTGACTTTTGCCGCAGGGACAGCCCAGTGTGGGGACACCCGGGGACACAGGAGGTGGATGCCTAAGGAAAGGAAGATGAGGCCACAGCGAGCTGCTGCAAAGCCTGGATGCTGGTCCCAGTCTTGCTCTGAGCTACGACTTCTGGGAGGGGGAAATCCAACACTGGTGCAAAAAGTCCTGAAAACAGGATTTTGCAGCCTGGGAAAAGCCGGGGGCTCGGGGCTCACAGACCACCTCGGGCGGCCACATCTGCTGGGCCTTCCCCGGGGCTGGCAAGGAGGAAGCCCCGGGGGGGAACGGGGACCCTGCTCGGGGCAGCGAGGACGGTGCCATCGCCCCCCAAGAGGGCACCAGCCATCGGGGAGGTGCTGATGTGGAACGGGGTGTCACGGCTGCCCTGGTGGGGGGTCCCGCGGGCAGGAGGGGGCCTCGCTGGGCAGGACCGGGTCTGGCTTCTGGTCTGCGCTTGCCGGGAGGGCTCCCTCCTCCCCAGCCAGCGCTCTGCGAGATGGGGACATTGGGGAACCCAGGGACACGTGGCACATCGTGGGTATCTCAGCAAATAACGGCGGTGTGACCTGGAGCTGCGGGACGCCTGTGCCACACCGGGAGAGAGACGCTGTGCTGGGGACGGCGCGGAGCCAGGGCAGGGTGTCCCCAGGACCGACATCCCCCATCTGGTCCTCGAATAACTGCCTGCACGTCCTCGAGGTCCCTCTCTGGAGCCCTCCCAAGGGATGTCCCCAACACCCAGGAGCCGTCCCAGCCAGCTGCCCCCAGGGACGCCCCCCGGAGCATGTGCCTTCCCAGCTAAGCAGGTTAAGAAAGTCCTTTCGCCAAGGTCTGGATTAGCCCCTGCTGCTCCAGGCAGAACGGGCTCAGCGGGGACACTGCCAGTCAAGTGAGGACGGCACGTGGGGACCGCAGCAGGAAGGGGACCTGTCCCAGCACGGTGCCGGGAAGCAACCCCCAGGCCCCCCACGCCGGGAAAGCAGATCTTACACCCAGGAGCTCTCCCTGCTCTTCAGGAAGATCAGGCAGGATGGGCTGAGGAGCAGCAACCCCCACCTGGGGCGACGGAGCGGGAGGTCTGGCCAGGGAAGAGGCAAGATGCGTCCTATTAGCGGGCAAGATGGAGGCGTCTTCTCCAGCAGGTGAAGCGTTTTGTCACGTCACACACATGGGGGTTCAGGGGTCTGCCTCCTGCTTTCTCTCCTTGCCAGCAGGCCACAGCACCCCCGCTGCACCCTCACCACGCCAAAACGGGAGGTTCGGTAACACCGCGCTCGCCTGGGGGTGCAGGCGGGCTCTGGAGATGGACAGACTCTGGAGAAGGACAGACTCCAGCTCAGACTGCTGCAGCAACACAAGGCCAGGCGCCAGGACCTGCGCTCGGCTGGGAGCGGGCACGGGACACCTCCAGGGACGGCGGCGGGTGCAGGGGGCAGCGAGACGACGCAGCATTCAGGGTCGCTCTGCTCCGAGCACGCGCTGGCTCCCGCAGACGCGTCCCTCCAGGATGTCCTGCACAATAGCTCCGCTTCGGCAGCAAAGAGTTTGTGTTGATCTTGCTGTCGCTTTGGGTAGCCGCCGGCTTCCTGCGGGCACGTACGCTGTGAGCAACATCCGACGGGGAAGGGATGTTGCAGGGAGCTTCAGGTTTTCCGTGCCGGGGCCCGCAGGATGAGTAACAAAGGAAAATGGAAGGAGCGTGCTCCGAGCTGGCCGGCGCGTCCCGCCTGCGCCGCCAACCCAGCGGGAGCCCCGACGCCCTCCTGACGGTGCCTTCTCTGTCCCGCACCCTGCAAAGTGCTCCGGTCCCGTCTGTTGTCCCTGCCGTCCCAAGGGCTGGCGCTGGTTGCAGCCTGGCTATACTGGGCCAAGGCTTCCGGGCATGGAGACAAAGGAAGGTGTTGCCTTTCGTTCCAGCTGCTTTTTAGCTCTCCGAAAATCCAGCAGATACCTGCGTATCAAAGCGTGGGATGGCGGCTGCCCTGCTCTCCAGGTTTCAGACCGCTCTGCTCTCACGCCGCAGGAGAGGAGCTGCTTCTCCCATGCCCCCGACAGACCTGGAGTTGGTGCTTCAGGACTTTAAACAAGACTTTTTAAACAAGACTTTTTTTAACAAGCGTGTCAGACGATACTGCTCTCCTACTAGGCAACTCTTCATTAAAACTTTATACTTTAGGAAGCCTTTCACAGGAGACACACTCCAAGCATCCCACCCGTCGGACGGTGGCAGGCAGGAGCGATTTAGTAACTCCACAGGATTTCCAGAGGGAGGAGAGCACCGAGTCCTCAACAAGCTCCTGACCAAAGGAGGCGGCGTGTGACCAGACCCCTCTGCGGCGCCAGGACGCTCGGAGCTGAGCCCAGCCCGGCTGCAGGGGAGGCGCGGGGCTGCATCTCCCACAGCTGATGGAGAAGGCCGGGGCTCTGCGGGGCACGGTGGATGTGGATAACCAGCCCGTTTTGGCTTGGAGTACTTGGAGCAGAGCCCCTGGGCTGCCCCTGCGCAGGGCACCTCGGCCCGCGGGGCTCCGAGGAGTGTGCAGTTCACACGGGCTGGTTACTCACAGTTAGATGATTTCCTTAGGAAAGTCTTGCTTGTGCACAGCCTTAGCAAGCCAGCGTGAAGCCAGTAAAAAACGTTTGCTTCCAAAAAAAAAAAGAGCTTTCAAGGGTCAAGAGAAGAGGGAACTGAAGGGCGCTCGACGCTTTGATTCACGTGCGTTCCCTTCCCCGCACCAGTGATCTGCCGTTCCTCCCGCAGCGTGCTCCCCGCCTGCTCCAGGCTCCGCTCCTCCAACTGCCCGTGGCCCTCCTGGGTCACCCAGGTCCCTCCTCGTGCTTCAGTCCTGGGTGGGAGCCTTGGTTTGGCAGAGGGACTGACACCAGCCCTTCCACCCTGGTGGCATTAGCCTCTATTTCAGAGCTCCAACACAGGGCACGGACACTCGCGGCAGTGACAAAACCTCTTTTCAGTCCCATGAACCGCCCCCTGAACTACGAGAGCCTGATGGAAATCCCAGTCCCTGGCTGCTTCTTGATGGGTCTCGTTAGTAACCTGATTGCCCCTCGACTCCATCGCTTCTGACCTGCCCAAGCCCACCTGGTGTAGCCTTCTGCTGACCCCGGGGACAGCCTGCGACATTTCCCTCACAAAGGCAAGGGGCTATTTGTGCTTCGCTGCTCAGCACCAAACCTCACAAAGAAATTAGAGGAGCCGAGAAGGGCCCCAAAGAGGACACCTGCTTCTGAAGAAAAATCGGACGCATTTCCTGAGAGGGCAGAGAGAGGGGGAGAGGATTTAGCTTTAGTGAGAACATCTTGATTTGCCTAAATACGCGAGTCCCTTATTAAATGACTGTCCTGTTGAATGATAAGTGTTCAGCAAACAGATCAAAACCGTGTCACTCTCGATTGTAAATGAGACTTGGGAATTCAGTGGTGAGGGATAAGCCACAAGCCTGAAATGTCCCAACAAGAGAGGGACAACGTTCCAGGGGTACGGAGAGACCCGGCCAGGCCACAGGTAGAGGCAGCGCTCGCTCGGGGCTGAGGCTGCAGCTGGGCCTCTGACGGGAGCAGCTCTGTCACCCTGAAACCCCACTCCCCTCTGCCCGACTGCGGGGCTGGTGCTAGTTAGTTAAAACCAGCAGGTTCCCAAACCGGCGGATCTGCAATAGAAACTCAAGTGCCACAACGCGCTGGACTGGAGAGAGCAGCGTCCCTGCTGTCCCTGCCCTGGCCACACAAGCAGCTCAAAGCCACCCCAGGGAGACCTGCCAGCACAAAAGCCCTTTCTTTCCCCCGGGGTGGTTTTCCAGTCCCCTTTCTTAAAGCAGCACCGACCCAGGGCGGGTCGTCCCGCAGCTCCTGCGCTCCCTCCCCGCGCTCGCAGCAGCGGCCGGGCTGCGGACGACGAGGGATTCAACCCCTTGAGCAAAAGCCGGTAACAGTCCAACCACCAAAACCTCCCAAGCATCACGGAGATGAACTCTGACCTGGACTCCTACTTCTACCATTTATTTACTTGCTCTTTTATTTTAAACTACCATGTTTCACAGAAGTAACACACCACCTCTCTTCACCAAACGCTTCCTCCCACCCAGCCCCTGCGTGCCGCCTTCCGAGCGCCCGCCCTGAGCGAGGGGACACCCACGTCCACCCCGCGCTCCCGCCACTGTTGGCTACTGCGGATATCACACATTTCTGCCTGGGGGATCCGAGACGCCGTCTAAGGTGCAGCTTTCCAAGCACAGAAAGCTCTGACCTGTATCCCAAAGCCTTGGCACCCCTCCTGCGGCGGGGTTCAGGGCTCTTCTTGTCACACCCGGGGAACTACAACCTGGTGCCTTAGGGGAGGGTTTGGTCCCCTCTTTCTGGAGGAGCTGGGAGCCAGGTCCCCACACAAGGACCATCTGCTCCGAGCTGGAGAGGGCCCTGGCTGAGCAGAGACCCAGAGGCTAAACGGAAGGCCTGGGAGACGGCTCTGCTTCAGAGCCTGTGCTGACATGAAATCCATCCTCCAGGTGGGACACCTGATCAGAAGGGACTGGTTAATGTTTAATAAGGCACAAAAACATCCTGTGGCAGAGGCGCAGAGCGGTTCCCGCCCGCTGGGGCACTCACCGTCCTCGTGGCCGTGCAGGTTCTGCGGGCTGCGCATGCTCTCGTCCTGGCTGGGGCTCAGGCTGGAGTTCAGGTGCTGGTCAGCTGAGATCCATGTGGAGTCGTTCATATCAAAGTCCTCGCTGCTCACCGACGTCTCATCCTGGAGGCAAGCAGGAAAGGGTTAACTCGCTGAGCTATTTTCCTCCCTCCTTTCACTGGCTTTTACATCTCCTCACCGCACTCCTTCCTAAAACCCATCAGTGGGCAGCTCCTGCCCCCGGGAAGGTTCGTGGCCCCTGGGCGCTGGCCGAGGCCAGGCGGGCGGCCCTTCCCCGGGCGCTGCTTCCTGCCTGAAGACGTGCCTGAGCAATGGCACTGTCTCTAATTGAGGACAATTAGAAAGAGCTCGCATCCTGTAGGAGCGGATGGCTGAGCCCTGGAGTTTTACCCTTTAATCTCCATCCACCCAGCATGTTTCTGGTGAGGCAGCGGCGTGCGGGAGCCGAGGACGGGTGAGACTCCATTGAAACGGCTCCGTGAAACGCCTCAGACTTTTTTTTAGATCAAATCATCCCCCATCATCGGTGGGGCCGATCTGGAGAGCGGCAGCACCAATTCCCAGAGACCTGCTCTGCCCGATGCTGCAGGAGGCTCCTGGAGCCCCGAGGGACAGCTCCTGAGCCCAGCCAAGGGATATTGCTGGATTTTCCCTCCTACCCTGACCCAGAATGACCACACACACCTTGGGCAGGGGCGAGGTCCCCGGCGAGGGAAGGACACCCCAGCCCAGGGAGCCCGGCCAGCCGCCTGCTCCCCGGCAGCATAGATGACATTCCTCTCTCCCACTCCTGCAGCTGAAAGGACATTTTCTCTCTCCCTCTCTCTCCCTTCTCGCTAACCTTTGCAGTACTTGGAGACACAGCCCTTGGATCGCTTCCAGCGCCGGAAAGGTCAGCCACAGGATTTCAAAACCATCATCATAAAGGCAGCACTGAGATCCTGAATGAGAGGAGGGGCTGCGGGACCTCCCCGGGCTGAACTCCCCGAACACACAGCTCAGGAGGAAGCAGATACGTGTTCCCGTATGAGCACGGTCCTGCTGGTGATCCCTTTATCTGCCTTCCTCTCCCCGCTCCCCTCCCAAAGCGAGGGGCCGAGTCCGCATCCAGAGCCCTGGGGTGCAGGGGAACACCGAAAATGTTTCCAGAACCGCTTTCAACCGCGCTTGCCTTTGATTGAAACATTTCAAAGGCTTGTAAACTCTGCTCTTTTTTTTTTTTTTTTTTTTCCCTCCCCCTGGTCCTGAGATAAAATACAATCCCCTCCCTTTCCGTGTAAGAAGCAATTGGCAAGCGCCCCTCCAACCTACGCCTGCGCTTCATAAAAACTGCCCTGTCTGGCCGCCGCTGGCTGACAGTTTTTATTGTGAACAAACAAATGTCTTTCAAGACAGGTTTGTGCTTTTCCTCCCCGCTCCTCGTCCCTGTAGACACATCTGCTGGCGCGGGGCTCTGCCCGCCCCCAGCCCGCTCCCTCCATGTGCCTCCCGGGGAGTTTCCTGGAATTTACAGCTTGTGAAACCCCGCTGGCACCAAGGGACGGGGCTCAGCAGCCCCATGCACGCCTGCCAAGGGAGCGGGGACCCCCGACCCCCTGCCCTGCCAGCCAGGTGCCCCCTGCAGCCCCCCTGTGCCCAGGTCGAGCAGAGCAGGAGAGGTGGGAGGCAGGGGGGAGGCACGGCGTCCCCCGGCTCGGCACAGCACCGCTGCCGCGCCAGCCGCAAAGCAATCCTGCCTCTCCAGAAACTCCATCTTGTACGTACAGGAACAGAACGGCAAAGGTCTCCCTGTTGCAAACTATAAATAGTCTCTTTATTGTAAGCATTTGCAGGGAGGCAGCCACCCTAATATCTGGCCTCCTTCACCGGGCTTACTCAAGATTACTGTCAGAGCTTAAGACACAAACGCAAATGCCAAGGTCCTTGCTGCCCACAGCCTCTCACCTGTGCGGCAAGGAGGAGGAGGAGGAGCCCTGGGAGCAACCCAGGATGTTTTCGGAAAGCCCTGGCACAGGCACGGCGCCCGCGGGGCCCGGCTGAGGAGGGTGCCCGGCCCCGACGCCCCAAGCGCAGCCCGGGAGGCACCGTGTGCTCCAGGCACTCCCGCGGCGAGAAGTGGGGACGGGAAGGATGCCCCAGTGCACGTGCTACGTAAAGCGCTTTACAAAGGTGTGCAATGCTCTCGAGCTGCAAAAACGTTCGCCTGTTATTAGAAATGCTCCAGGTATCAAAGCAGAAACCGATACGCTATAAACGACTCAAGTCAAACGAGACGTCGCGCGTTCACCAGCCCAGCCCCAGCAGGAAGAGCAGGACCTTGCCAGGCAGCCCCGGCCCCGCCGTCACCCGCTGCTTTCCAGCCCGAGTTTTCTGCCTTCCAGCACTAACACCCTTGGCCAAAACACCAAGGGGACCAACTTCCCAGCGGCACGCGGCTCCCACAGCACAGCCCACCCCACGGGAACGCGCAGCCGACCGCGCAGGCAGCGTCGGGGGAACCTTCCCCAGCAGCAGGAATGGCTGATGCCGGCGGCGGGAGCTGCTGAGAGCTCTGCCCCCGCCGCGGTGCCCGGGAGCTCCTCGCACCTTTGTGCCCCTTCCCTAAAGCGAGAGAAAGGCCCCGGCCTTGAGCGTGGCTCTGGCACCCTCCGCTGAGTCCCTCGCTGAGACACCAAGGCCACCAGCAAGCTCCCTCCTCCTCGGGACACCCCTGGGAGGCCGAGGGCTGAGCGTTGTGACCTCCCCGTGCTGTCCATCGGTGCCAGTGGCAACTGCTGGTGCTGACCCCTCATGCCAGGGACAATCCCAGGGGCGAGAGGCCCCGGCAGCAGCGCCCGGAGCACCAGCCGTCCAGCCACGGCCTGGGAGCGGCCTCGTTTCAGTCGGCTGGAGCCAAGGGGCAGCAGCACCGCACAAACCCCAGCGCCAAAACGTGGGACACCACAGCAGGGTCAAAGTTTCTGGCTGGGTGGGCAGCTCTGAATTCTTCCTGGATGCCGATAACCTGGCTGAAGGCTGAGCCTCCAGGCGGGCTCAGCGTCCAGCCAAACAAGGAAGCGTTTCTCAACAGCGGCAACAGCTACGACTCGGAGCAATACGGTAAATCTAATCTACCCTTCCACCCTCTTTTGGCTTGCAAGTCAGGCAGCTCATTCTTTTTCCTCTCTGGGTTCTCAGGAGAATTCTCTCTGCTAATTTCTTCTTTCCTGTAAACAAACTTCAAATGAAACTTTCATTAGAAAACAGAATGCAATCCATTACCAGCGCCTGTCTCAGGACCGGCCGCCTTTTCCCCAGTTCCACGCCACCCGTGGCACCGACGGCAGTGACAGTGGCTGCCCCAAGCAGCCAGCCCAGAGCTGAACCCCAGCCCCGCTGCTGCCGCCCTCCTCCTTCCTGCCCTTCCCGGCTCTCCGGAGAGATCTCCTCACCCCGCAGTAAAGTCCCATCGCTTTGTTTCCAACGTTCAAGGGATTGAGCGATCAAGGGTCAGGCGACGTGCGTGCAGCTCCTCTTCTGCAAGGGGAAGTCGGATCCTGCTGGTGCATTCACAGGCCACACCCAAACATCGGAGCTGGGCTCCTGGCACCGCGCGGGGTTTGGAAAACAACATCCTTGCTCCTCTCCTTATCTACAGTCCGACATTCACAGCTGCTCGGCAGACACTCGCAGCCAATGTTTTCTAGGCGGCAAAGGCAGACACTCACACGTGCAGGACACACTCGGCATTTCTGTCCCACTTTCCATTCACCGATCTTCGAGCACGGCGCGTGCACGCGTCTGCTGAGCCTCTCAACTTCCCTCGAGTTCGAAAAGTATTCTTCCTCTTCTAGAGCTGGAAAGCCCGGGCACTGACAGCCGCCCCGGCTGGCCCGAGAACACAGCGAGTCGCTGGCAGATCCAGGAGCACAACCGAGACCTCCGGACTGTGGGGCTTGAACTGCTGGAGAGCGTTTCTGCCCCGGCGGCTCTGCGTCCCGGAGAACAACCTCCCCTAGCGCTGCGGGCTGGAGCGGGGCAGGGGGCAGCTACTCTTATAACCGTTATCTCGTAAATATATGCAAGGCTATCAGTAACCTGCTTATTTTACAGCCAGGCTCGGTTTCTCGGGGACTGCCTTGCAAGTCTCTCTCTCCAGTCATTTACATGCTGTGCCTCACGCTTAATATTCCAGGCTCCCAGTCTCAGGACGGTTTATTTTCTCTCTTTGAGTCCTTTCATTTTAAAACGTGTCCTTTCACGCCACAGCCTGCGTCCCGATGGGATTTCTTTCCGCGGAGCAGGAACCGAGGCTGTGTGCCGTGCAACCTCCCCAGCGCACAGCCCCGCTCAGCTTCAGCACGGCTTCAGAAGCAGCCGTGTTTTTAGAGTCAACAAAAGGCAACGCGTGACTGCCAGCCCCCGGAGCCGCTCCAGCGCCGTGCCAGCCCCCACCTGCCCGCCACGGCAGCCCCCAGACCCCCAGACCCGGCGGAGGCGCAGCACCTCCGGGGGACGTGCTCTCCGAAAGGCAACCTCAGCTCCGACTCAGCCACTGTTTAAACCCGGCCCTCTGAGCATGCCAAGAAGGTATTGAACCAGATTTGACCCTAACTTAACCAGTTCAGCGCAGAGAAAGGTTTCCTAACGGCAGATGAAACACCCCGGGTCAAAGATTGATAGCGCGGGCACCGGCGCGGTGGTGGCCGCCGCTGGAGCCCCGCAGCCTGGACGCAGAGGGGTGTAGGCTGGCGGCGGTGGCAGCGAGCTGTGACTGCGCTGCCTACTCGTGTGTGCAATTCACACACCAAACAGAACATCCCCAGCGCTCTTTGTCAGGCCACTTACGGCCTTATTTACTGCAATTTCTGCCCATTTCTACGGGACGCGGCAAAACCGAGTGTTTGCTAGTTCCCCAAAACCGGGCGAGAGAGTCCGTTTAACAGGCAAAGGGCAAATGGAAGAGGAAAGGAAGCTCGTTGCCTCCTCCTCCCCCCTCTACCTCCCCTGAGAGCTCCTCTTCGGGGGACCCCCCCGGGTCAGTCCCAGGGCCCCGAAGCCGAGGGGGGCTGCGCGGGGGGTGGCCCCGCAGCCCCGTGTTCCTGCTGTTGGGCAGGGAGGTG